GAAAGATCCTTTTTCCCACCCCGTTCCTAAAGGATTTTAAAGCAGGGTTTGATTTACAAAAACTGAATTCACCCACAGTTTTTCAGGAAGACCATTGTTATATCCACTTTCATTTTTTATGTTCAAGGACAAAATGTGAACTAAAACTCTATGCAGCAAAAATAAGTTCATTTGTATCTCCCTGGGTTGCCTTTACCTCTCTCAATCCCTGCACCAGAATTTTTGATGACTAGACATGTGCTAGGAGTTCAAACTCAGTATGTTCAAAATTGGACTTATTCTTTCCCTAAAAAAACCCATTCCTACTCCTGACAGATAGGTGATACAGTGGATAGAGTGCCAGGTCTGGAGTCAGGGAGACCCATCTTCCTGAGTTCAAATCTGGCCTCAGATATTTACTAGCTGTGTGACCCTGGGCAAGTCATTCTACCCTGTTTGCCTCAGTTTCCTCATCTGTAAAATGAGTTGGGGAAGGAAATGGCAAACCCTCCAGTATCTTTGCCAAGAAAACCCCAAATAGGGTCATGAAGAATGGGGCACAACTGAAAAATAACTCAAGAATAATTCCTGACTTCCCTACTTCTGTCAATAACATCCTCACTCCTTCCTACTCACACACATCCCTGCCCCACCCCCCCACCTCCCTCCATCTCCCGGCTGCATCCTCCCTCCAGGGCTGGACCTTCTCCAGCGTCCAGCTCCAACTCTGCCTGTTCGTCCCTCACACTTGTCCCAGATCCCTCGGGCCAAAAGTGATGTCTCTCTCCCCAGATCTCTCAAAGCACTTTGTGCCTCTCTTCTGCTCTCATGATATATGAGTTTACATTATAGTTATTTAAATACACGACCTCCCCCCTACTAGTTTATATATTTCATGAGGACTGTAGCTTATTCACCTCTTGTGTTTCCCTCGAATCTACCACAAGGCTTTGTACACAGATACTTAATAATGTTTGTAGATTGATTTGGCTCCTTTGAGTGGAAAGCAGATAACAGAGTATCTCAATGTAGAACTTGAAGAGACTTTGGAGATCAAATAATGCCTCCATTTTACAGATGAACAAACTGAGGCCCAGATAGATTATAATTTGCCTTATAATAAAGGAAAAGAACCAGAATTTGAACCCAGTCCTTCTGAGCTAAATCCAGTACTATTTTCATGATACTATGCTGCCTCTGGGAGGGTTTCCAGGGTCCTCTGGCAGTCCAGGTTCAGCCAGACATATAAGGAGTCTCCACCCTCACCACAAATTTAGGCTACTCTCAGGATCAGCCTGGGATGGCTATGGCCTCTGGTATCTCAATTTTGATGCAAAACTCCTTCTGACAACCCATGTGTACCAGGGGCCCCAGTTTACTGGTTCATGCACAGCTGGAATTACAGTGGAAGCCCCCAAAACAATCCATTGGCAGGGGTCCTGGGAACAGCCAAACAGAACATCAACTTGGCTTGAAGCCAGTTCTGTGGAGTGTGACATTCCACTCACCCTCAGCACATTCATCTGCAGTGGCCCCACTTCTAGACTTCCTCCTCCCCTGAAGGAGAAGCTCCTGGCAAGGAACTACTTATCCAAGGCTCCAATTCATTCACCACTGAGGCACTCAAACCCTCCTGAACTGACCTAAGGGACTGGCTCCCTGGGTTTGGGGGTAAGTGGGACGGTGAGGCCCAAGGCTGGCAGTATGGAAAATCTGAAATTCAACAGTGTGATCCAACTGTCCAACTACAAACCCATCTCCCTCCTTGCCTTCTTTTTTTTAATTTTTTTTTAAATTTTTAAATTTTTAAAATTTATTTTGATTTATCAACAATCACTTCCATATGCTTTTGAGTTTAAAATTTTTCTCCCCCTTCCTCCTACCACCCTCCCCAAGATGGTGCACAATCTGATATAGGCTATACATTTACATTCCTATTAAACATATTTTCACATTAGTGATGTTGTAAATAAAAATTAAAACCAATAGGTCCCTCCTTGCCTTCTTATGGATTAGCATACCCTCCCACTATCCCTTCTTATGAAAACTATTAGGTCCTTCTAACCAACAAAGTCTTTAAGACTGATACTCCTTAAAGTTACCATTACCAAGGAAGACTTGAATTCAAAACACTCAGTTCAAAACACTGAGCCAAAGGAATGATGGTATTAAGATTTCACAGGACTGTATCCTAGGATGCCTTAAAATGACAAAATCGAAGGTCTGGAAGAGATCTCAAAAACTACGTGGTTTAACCTCCTCTTTTTACACATTAGGCAGCTAGTGGAGTCTGGAAGAAAGCTTGCAGTCAGGAAGACCTGAGTTCAAAATCTGGCTTTAGACACTGAAAAACTATGTGACTCTGGGCAAGAAAGTCACTCATCCTCTGTAAGCCTCAGTCTCCCTATATGTAAAATGGAGACCATAATAGTGCCTACCTCCCAGGGCTGTTGTGAGGATAAAATTAGTTATTGGTAAAAATGTTTTGAAAATCTCAAAGCATTATGTACAGGTTAGATGTTATAATAAGGAATCTAGTGCTAAAGAGAGCTCAGGGGTCATCTGGTCCAACCTCCTCTTTTTGCAAATAAGAAACTAAGACCTTCCCCCAGAGTTGAACTGACTTGCCCAAGGTCACAAAGATAGTAAATAGCAGAGCTTAGGCAATGTGGTCCAGTGGAAGGAGTGATGGCTTTGAAGTCAGAGGACCTGGGCCTGACTCCTGGTTCTACCACTTGCTAACTGTGTGATCTTGGGCAAATCTCTATTCTCTCTGTGCCTCAGTAGCCTCATCTGTAAAATGAAGAGGTTAGACTAGATGGCCTCTAGGTCCTTTCCAGTTCTAAATATAATAACCTATGACTTTTTATATTTCCTGTGCTCTTGTCACTAAATTTCCAGATACTCACCAGGAAATGTAGACAAATTTGGGAGAGATGGGGGCCTTCTCGGCCCCCTGAGACCATAACAAAAAAACAGGAGACAGAACCAGGAGGAAGGATAACAGAACCTCCTCTGTCGAGCACAAAAGCCCACTGCCCTCCTATTGGTATGGTATACCACGTTCAAGTCCCACCTGTCCACTAGGAAGTATCTTAGAACTGTGTTTCACTAGTGAAAGAAGTGACCTTTTTAGACAAGAACAACTTCAATTCTAATTGGTATCTAATTTTGCCCAAGAAATCAGGGATGAAGTGTCACCCAGAGTAGAAGGCTCTCTGCCCCACCTCCCTTCCCTACTCCTCTGAGCAAGGTTATTCAAGTCTTTCTATCTCTTGAGGTTCTATAGCTTCTGATTTTCTTTCCTTCCGTTCCCCCTCCATCCCCAATCCTTGCCCATGAGAGCCCATCTTCCAAGAATATAACAAGATGGGGCAAAGACAAGGGGTCAGTGGAACCCTCACACACTTGGGATATAGCTCAGGGGTCAGGATTCAACATTTACTTTAACCAAACATGTAATGAAGCCCTAAGAAGCTGCATGGTATAATGGGGAAAAAAATCAGCTCTGGGGTAAGAGGACCTGGGTTCAAACCCTCATTTTGCTCTGTCGTCTTTGGCAAGTGATTTCCCACCCCTAACTCTCCAAATAATCTGTAAAATGAAGGAGATGATTTCTAAGGTCCTTTCCAGACCTAAATTCTACAATTCAGCAATTTGAAGGTGAGGCTGGTCCAGCCATGGGTATTGAAGATTTTCTAATTTCATCTCCATTGTATAGTATTTTATATAATGGAGTCATAGGGAGAGGACAGTCAGAGTGGGTAACAAATATGCTCTCCTAAGAAATACAGATTCTCTGCATCATTACACTTGGGTTCTAGGGCTAGTTTTAAAAAAAAACTTCAACCCCCTCAAGTTCAAAGCACTTTGGACAGAGCTGCATAGTGGGAAAAGTGTAAGGCTGAAAGTATGGAGATTTGGGTGTAAATCCTGTTCCAACACTTCGTGGCCATGTAATCTAAAGCAAGTTACTAACTTCCCTGAGCCTCAGTCTCCTGATCTGTAGAATGGGGATATTTGTTATTACCTACTACCTAGGGTTCTCCTGTGGAAAAGTGCTATGCAAATTTAAAAATACTGTAAAACGTTATTATTGTTATTTTTATTGTGCTTCCTTGGCTATCTGCCCCTAAGTAGCAAGGATGACACTAAGTCATAGAGAAAGGCAGGCTCCATGCAAAGAACTAGCCCTGAGTGACAGACAGTGTCAGGGCTGGGGAATTAGCAATGGTCAAACCAGGTCTCTCAGATCCTTCTGCTGTCAGCCCCTAAACTTATCTCCATCAACTCATATCAGACCAGGGGAATTCCCCCAGGAAAAAACAAAGGAACCTGACTTTATGGTTCAAAGAAACAACCACCTTGGGGCATTTGAAGGTCTGTGGCTATCACCAAGCCCCCAATCCCACTGCAGCCAACAAGTTTGTCCAGGGAACATCCCGTACACCCTGAGGCAGGTGGGAATCGGGGTAGTAAGGTCAACTAGGAGCCAAGAGGATGAGAGAGGAACTTGGAGATTCACACGCTAAATAGAACTCCAGTTTGGATGGCACGATCTCTCTCTCCGAAAACTAGGAGAGGGGCCAACCGGAGGGAGGATTGCCTCCTTGGCCTCTGCCCACCCACCTTCAGCCTTGAAGGTGCCTGCTGTCCAAGGGGAGAAATCTGGATATAGGACAGGACGTGGAACAGGTGACCCACTTGGGCGCTCAGGGAAGCCTGGGCTAGGAGTGGAGCTGGCAGAAGCGGCTACATCAAACTCGCCAAGAGCGAAGAAAAGTAAAAGCCACCTACTCTGGCTAGGCTGCGACCCCGACGGATAAGAGTGAGGGCAGCAAAGTCCTGTGGAGGTCCAAACTCAGCTCCACTTGCAGGACCAGGTGGAGGCTCTGGCTGTCAATCCCTGCGCCCTCACCGCTGGGTGCTGGACCCCCTGGGAAGTTAAGCTGCAGCCGCCGGGTCCTGGAAGAGCCCCCCAGGCTGGGCCGTTTCCGTCGGGTCTCAGGGGCGCTACTCACCGCGGAAGGCTGCTGCTTTAGCTGCTGCTGCTGCTGCTGGTGTTACTGCCGCTGCTGCGCCGGGCACTGGCACCGCTGCGGGGACTGCGCAGCGCTCCGCTCCAGCTCTCTGAGTGCGCCGGGAGAGGAGCGACGCAGAAAAGGAGCAGGAGGGGAGGAGCGGGGCGGCTTGGACTCAGCCACCCGTTAGAGGCTAGCCCTTCCGTCCCGGGACAGGGGGTGGGGATTGGGGCGTCCCCTGCTGGCCGCCTGAAGCCTTGCGGGGAACGGGGCTGTAACCTCCGAGTTTCTAGCAATGCTTAATGTTAGCTGGCTGTATTGCGGACTTCTAGGATTGGGATCAATCAATCAAACGAATAAACATTTATTAAGTACTACTTTATGCCAGGCACCAAGTTAGCAATGGGGATTACAAAATCTAAAAAGCAACCAAAAAAAATTCAAGAAGAGAGACGATGTGGTTCAGTAGAATGATAGATTTGGAGTCAGGATCTGGGTTCTAATGTTGATCTGCCATTTCCTATCCATCTGACATCATGCAAGACATTTAACCTCTCTGGTCCTCCGTTTGCTTACCTGTAAAATTGAGGAGGATAGACTAGATTAAGTTACCTTCTAATTCCAAATTTGTGGTCCTATGATTCCCTGACCTCAAGGATCTTACATTCCATCGAGGGAGACAAAATAAGTGTGAGTATGGAATAATTGGAATGGAATAATATGGAAAAATTACAAGGTCATTAGGAAAGGAGGGGGCACTAGTAGGTGCGGGGACCAGGAAAGGCTTCTTGAAGAAAGTGTTTTTTGTTGTTTGTTGAAAGAAGGGAGAGATTCTATATAAAGTCAGAAGTGAGAGGGCATATTGGAGGCATAGGGGATGGGGGGATGGCCAATGCAAATGCACAGAGATGGAAGATAGAGTCCTTCATAACCTGGTCCCTTCCTCCCTTTCCCTTGTAATTACACCCTTACTGTCCTACTCATACTCTGTGATCCAGTGACCATAGCCTCCTTGCAGTTCCTTAGTACATAACAACACTATTTCCCAGCTCCAGGAACGTTCACTGGCTGTCTCTGTTCCATGCCTGGAACTTTCTCCCTCCTCCTAGCTTCCCTGGCTTCCTTCAAATGTCACCCAGAGTCCCACCTTCTGCAAGAACCAGTCCCTGGTCCATACTCTTAGTGCCTTCTATCTGGGATTATCTCTATTTTATCCTGTACGTATCTTGTTTGTACATAGTTATTTGTAAGTTATCTCCTCCATTAGATCATGAGCTCCTTGAGAAAAGAGACTGTTTTATGACTGTTGTTTGCCTTTCTTTGTATTCCTAGCGCTTAGCACACTGCCTGGCACATAGTAGGTATTGCATGCTCGTTGACTTGAAACCAGTTTGGCAAGACCTTAGAGTGCAAGATGGGAAGTAATGTAGACTGAAGCTAAAACAATAGATTGGGGCTAAGTTGTGAAGGACTTTAAAAGCCAAACAGAAGAGTTTATGTTTTGTTATGTGGGCAATAAGGAGTCCCTGAAGTTTATTGAATAGAAAATCTATAGGGAAAATTAAGACTGTGAAGCTTTGGAAAATGAAATTCAGGTACAGTATTTGGAATATGCCTTCTATATCTCTCTTTATTGGGAAAGTCTTTTTCCTGAGGAGAACAAGAGGGTAGATGCCTATGCACCTCCCTTACATGGCCCAAAATCAAAGAAAGGGGAGGGAGGAGGAGGAGGGGAAGGAGGAGAAGGAGGAGGAGGAGGAGGAGGAGGAGGAGAACGAGAAGGAGAAGAAGAAGAAGAAGAAAGAAGAAAGAAGGAGGAGAGGAGGAGGAGGAGGAGGAGGAGGAGGAGGAGGAAAGAAGAAAAGAAGAAAGAAGAAGAAAGAAGAAGAAGAAGAAGAAGAAGAGAGAAGGGGAGGAGGAGGAGGAGGGAGGAGGAGGAGGAAAAGAAGAAGAAGAAGAAGAAGAAGAAGAAGAAGAAGAAGAAGAAGAAGAAGAAGAGAAAGAGGAGGTGAAGGGGAAGGAAGGAGGAAGAGGAGGGATGAAACAAAGAATGCTTTACAAAGTACTTCACAACAATAACAAAGGTAGAAAAGAAGTAATATCTCTAATACAGATGAGGAAAGTGATTCTCAGAGAGATCAAGAGACTTGCTCAAAGTCACACAACTGGCAAGTGTCAGAAGCAACATTATAACAATCATCCAACTTGAGCTTAACTGCCAGGGAATGATCCGTGTTTCCAGGGTCTAGTGGAAAGAGCGCCAGCATGGGGCAGATGAACAAGTATTTCATGATGTTGCAAATGGTATGGCCTGAGTTTGGCTTAGTGGAATGAATGCTGGTCTTCGAAGCAGAGGACCCATATTTCTATCCTGACTGTAACCCTGCGCAAGCCACTTCATCATCTCTTTGTGACTCAGTTTCCTCATCTATGCTATGGGGATAATAATACTTGTGCTACTTTCCTCAGAGGATGGCTATAAGGAAAGCACTTTGGAAATTTCAAAGACCTACATGAATGTCAATTATCATTGTAATGGGGGGTGGGGTAGACTGGTATATGAGGGTGAAGCAGGCACCAACATTCCCTGCCTCGTTCTAGTCCAAGCAACCTGGAAACTTGGAGGACAGCCATTTGTAAATGTGAGCTAGTGCTGAATGATGATGGAATGCTCTCTAATTGGGTTGAGATCCAGTAGAACTGATGACTCATGGGTTCCTGAGCTGGAATCTAGTATGTATATGAAAGGGGTAGCATGCCCCTGGTTGCTCCTTTTCTTTTGTTGCAAGAGTACTTTGAGTTACGTCCCCAGAGCCAGGTCAGGAAAGAGCTGCCATTTCCCCCATCTGGACAATGTTGGTTTTGAGTACGTGGCCAACTTTGTCTATTTTTGTATTTTCTTCCCTAATTAAGTGACCGGGCCTTGAGATGAGCAGCTTGGAGATAAAAGTGCCCCAGCAGTGACCTCATGAGTATTTCAAGGTCTGAAGAGATTGCAGGGTGACAGCTGGTGTCTTCCTCTCCCTTGACCCCCAATCATTAGGTGGCAAGAGAGTACCAGCAGCACCAGTAGCAGCAGAGCAGGAGGGCCCTGCAAAACACCAAAGTACAACACAATAAACAATTATTAAGCACCTACTATGTGCCAGCCATAGGTGCTATGTTTGATGGGGATACAAATAAGAAAAAGAAAGATCTCCTTGCCCTCAAGGAGTTTACAATCTAATGGGGGAAGACAACACGCAAAAAGAGGCTGCCATTATCAATGCCACATCCCACCATGAACTTCTTGAGGGCTCTACAAAGGAAAAAAAAAGGATATCCAGGGCTTGGAATTGGAGACATTGTTTTGCCATATGTGTTCTCTTCACATGTGCCATGCTTTCATTATTCTCTAAATTAGTGCCCACTCTCCCCATGGACTTTGTATGCATTTCACACAAGTCAGTTAGTTGATAAATACTTATTAAATACCTACTATGTGCCACCATGGAGGCAAGTAGATGGCTCAGTGGATAGAGCACTGGGCATGGAATCAGGAAGACCTGAGTTCAAATATGGCCTTAGACATTCAGCTGTGTGACTCTGGGCAAGTCACTTAACCTCTGTTTGCTTTAATCCACTGGAGAAGGAAATGGCAAACCACTCCAATATCTTTGCCAAGAAAGCTTCATATGGGGTCATGAAGGGTCAGATGTGACTGAACAACTGAACAACAACATATGTCGTTGTGCTAAGTGCTGGTGATACAAAAAGAGGCAAAAGATTGTCCCTTCCCTCAAAGAGCTCACAGTCTAATGGAGGAGACGACAAGCAAACGACAATGTACAAAGAAGCCTCATGCAGGATAAATAGGAAATAATGAAAAGAGGGAAAGCATTAAAATTCAGGGGAAAGACTTCCTACTGAAAACGGGATTTTAGCTTTGACTTAAAGGAAGCTAGTGGATTTGTGAAAAAGTGCTCCCTTGGCTTTGGGGAAAATGTTTTGTATCAACTGTTATTGTGAAACCTTAGTAAATCTCTTTTCTAAAAGCTAATTGACATCTACTGGCTAATTGTTAATGGGGAGTAATACACTGGTGGGAGCTCATGAGCAAACATATTAGAAACACAGTCCCTCTGGATTACAGCTAGAACCCTAAGAAAGAATAAGTATCAGCTGTTCTGTGGGATCCCAACCTGCAGTCCTAGTGCCCAGTTTGGGGAATGGCCCCAAAAGGGATACTATGTTATTAATTGCTATATCATTAATAGTAATACATGTTATTAATAGTAATATTATTTAGTCATTAATTATTATTAATGTTATTAATAGTAATACAGGGTATCAGTGATAAGCTTCAGTAGACTTTTAGGACACCCTATATTTCTAGATCACACTTACAATCTTGCAGAGTTGAAGTGACCTACTTGTAGACTGTCAACTAATAAGTATCAGAGATAGGCATTAAATCCAAGGCTTTCCAGGTCCAAAGCCAGCACTCTATTCACTCCATCTCAAATGAGATCATATTTGTAATCACTTAGAACACCTAGCACTTTAGGCACTACATAAATGCTTATTTCCTTTCTCTGTCCTACACTGTGGTCTCTTTGTCTTACTCCTGCTTCACCCTACACCATCCCCACTGCCCACTTCAGAAAGCTCAGGCTCCTATCTTCTTTAACATGCAGCATCTCAAAAAAATCCACCTTTGAGATACTACCCTGTTAAAGAATGTAGTAATGCAGTTTAAAAAAATGTAGGAACTACTGTGCTATAAGAAAAGATGAACTGGTTGATTTTAGAAAAACATGGAAACATGACTTGTATGAAATAATGAAGAGTGAAATGAGCAGAACAAAGGAAACTTCTTACACAGTAACAGCAACATTGTTCTAAGAACAACTTTGAACAATTAAGTCATTTTGAGTATTACAAATATTTAAATCAACCACAAAGGACCTAAGAAAGGAGATGCTATTCATATGCAGAGAAAGAATTGATGAATAGAAGTATATATAGTATGGTTTTACACACACGCACACACACACATTACTATTAAATGGTAGCCTTCTCTAGAGTGGATTAGGGAGGGAAAGAGGGAAAAAAAAGTGGAGAGCACAGAACAAAAGAAAACTTAGAAGGATGCACAGAAAAGCAGGGTAGTTTTAAAACG